GCAATTCCTACAAACACAGTTTCAAATGAATGATGTTTCGGTTCGCTGAAAAACATGAATACGGCTTACTATATGGGCCAAACAAGACTGAATAGTATTGCACCTCTCTACATTGAAGGTGATTGAGAAGTTGATTTTGATCAAGTACCTAATAGATGAATTTGACAAAGGTGCATCAATTCGAGGTCGACGACTCGTATTGAAATAAAATATTAATATTAATATATGTTTACTAATAAAATTTTGATAAATTGTAGGTAATAAGAAGGTGATCTGTTCTATATACTTTTTGTTTTTATATTTGAATACTGTCTATTACTAGCTAATAAATATAAATTATAATACTTGCTGATTTATTTATTGAGAGGGATTAAACCACTTTTTTTCATACCTACATTATAGACTTTTAGTTCTACCACAGACTGCCACTGCCCCCCCTCCCAAGATTTTATCCCAGATTATGCCTATGCTAGTGCCTATGATTTAATTTATTTTTTTTAATTAATCACTCGGCGAAGAAATCAAAATCTATAGAATGATAATAGTCTAAAAGAGTAAATGAAATGGACAGTAATAGGATTAGGAAAATCCATTTAAATACTAAATGCTATAGTAATAAGATAAAAGTAATGCATGTTGAAAGATTAAAGTAGTATTTGAAATATTTAKAAATCCTGGTAATATGTTTTTTAATAATTAATAACAACTAGCTGATACGATGTTATTACTTCTTAATAAAATAATGTACAAACAAAGTTTCAAAAAATTAAATAGTTAAACAAAAAACAAACTTTATTTTTTTTAAACATAATGAAACAATAATATAACATTTACATTAATTTAATGTATAACAATTTATAAATTTTTATTTTCTACCATGTACAACAGACAAAAAATCATCAACATCAACATTTGTCAGCAACCGTTGATGTTCAACTTTGGACACATTAGTAGGAATCTGCAGTAATAAATAAATACATTTAATATATCACCTACATTTTTAATTAGATATAATAATTAACTTATTAGCGGCAAAAAGATTGATCTTAAAATATTGCATAASGCACATAATTTTTAGTCAGTTATAAAAAAKAATTCATAATAAACATTATAATATATGTATACCATAAAAGTAATAAAACATAACTCATAAACTAATACACTAATATTGCAGTAAATTTGAATTTTAAACATTCCTGCTTTGGAATATAAAATTAAAATT